AAGCGACAAAGTATAAAGTTGAGCAAATGGCAGCTAGCCTGCTAGCTTAACAACAGTATTTTCCTGTGCTAACACAATACAAGAAAATGCCACAATAGCCAGCTACTAGGTAGCTCAACTAATTACCCAACATGGGAAACCTTTCTCAGATGGGGACTTCATAAAGCGGTGCCTTATTAAAGTCGGAGGAATAATGTGCCCAGAAAAGATGCAGGAATTCAACAATGTGAGCATGTCCAGAAACACAGTTGTGCTGAGAATCGAAGACTTGTCCGTTAACTTAAAACATCACGTGTCAGATAAAGCTTGTGCTTTTGATTTTTACTCGACTGCATGTGATGAGAGCACAGATGCCACAGACATTGCACAGCTGTTTTTTTTTTGCGGGGAGTTGACGATAACTTTTGCGTTACGGAGTAGCTACTTGATCTTAGGAGTCTAAAGACCACAACAAAGGGTACGGACATTTTTGAAGCTGTGTCAAATGCAACTGATAAGATGGAACGTAAATGGAAATGTGTGGAGTTACAATGGATGGTGCTCCAGCTACGACAGGGGAGCGCAAAGGAATGGAAGTGAGGTTGTTAAATGCACTGTATCATCCACCAAGAAGCCCTCTGTGCCAAGACAGTCCAGCTTGAGGATGTGATGAACACTGTACGATGAGCACGAAAGCTGTGCCACAGAGAATTTCAAGCTTTTCTATCTGATGTCGATGCTGAATACCGGGACCTATTGTGGAATTTATTTTTTATTTTTTTATTTATTTATTTTTTTCTCCTCACCTATAGTGGGAACATTGTTGCAGCAACACTGTTCCCACTGTAGGTGAGTAAAAAATATATATATATTACACAGTATTCATGCATTAAGCTCCATTATTTAATAAATTCAGTCAATTAAAGTTATCTAAAATGAAAATTTTCTAACAAATGTTGATGTTACCAAGCCCAATAACTTATGTATATAATCAGCTTAAATATAGCCATCCCTTTTATGCTTATTTTTTTTTTACCACTTTATACAGGGCTGTGAAGGGGTATCACCATCCTGACTAGGAAGCAATCTGAGATTGCTGTTTTTAGAATGAACTGCCAACCATTTTCGTAACAAAAATATGAAAACCCATTAATGGAAAGTTTTGATGTGGGCTGTTTTTTTTTTTTCATTAAGCAAATTCAATTAGCAAGCATAATTTACCTACATTTGAATGATATTAGTAACTTTAATACACTAGAGGAGGCGATATACTTCACGTTTAGTGACTGGCCCAGTGCTTCGTATATTTTTCTGTATGTGGCCCTCAGTGAAAAAAGTTTGGACACCCCTGAATTATATAATTAACACATTTTTTTCAGTAGCCAAGTTTATGGCAGCACGTTTATTGTTCTATTTCACACTTTAGTGAAATAACAGATATTAGCTCTTCTTTCCCCCAATCTTTCAATTGACTTGTGGTCCTCAATGTTTTACATTTTAAACATTAACTCTAAATCCATTTGGTGGATCAGATTAGATCCATTATCTGGGCTGGTCCTGGACATGCGGTCAACGCAAATAATACTTTTTACGACACAATTTTTTTTTATACCTGTAAACAATATTTTGGTCTAAAATGTCATATATTTTCAGTGACATGTATAAAGGTTCCAAAAACCCTCATGGATAAGAAAAAGAGAGGAGGAGTTACCCTGCCCAGAGGAAGCACAGGGGTGTGGGTATACTCACAAGTCCCCGGCTGAGCGCCGTTATGTTGGAGTTTACACCGGGGGACGAGAGGGTCGCCTCCTTACGCCTACGGGTTGTAGGGGGATCTGACTGTTGTATGTGCATATGCACCGAACACCAGTTCAGAGTACTTGGCCTTCTTGGAGACCCTGAACAGAGTCCTGTATGGGGCTCCATAGTAGGGGATTCCATAGTCCTTCTGGGGGATTTCAATGTGCACGTGGGCAATGATGGAGATACCTGGAGAGGCGTGATTGGGAGGAACGGCCTCCCTGATCTAAGCCCGAGCGGGCATTTGTTATTGGACTGCTGTGCTAGTCATGGATTGTCTATAACCAATACCATGTTCGAACATAAGGAGGCTCATAAGTGTACTTGGTACCAGAGCACCCTAGGCCGAAGGTCTATGATCGATTTTGAAATCATATCATCTGATCTGAGGCCGCATGTTCTGGACACTCGGGTGAAGAGAAGGGCGGTGCTGTCAACTGATCACCATCTGGTGGTGAGTTAATAATAATAATATAATAATAATAATAAACTTTATTTTATAAAGCGCCTTTAAAGCAGCTTCTCAAAGCGCTGTACATAAAAACACAAATCACAGAATTAATAAAAGTTAATTAAAATGAATAAAACAACCGTAATAAAAAACAAATATAAAACAATCAAAAAGATATCAAGAATCAAAAGCGAGTCTAAAAAAGTGTGTCTTTAAAAGAGCTTTAAAAATGTCAAAGGACCGAGCTTCCCTGAGTTCAGGGGGAAGAGAGTTCCAAAGTGAAGGAGTGTAGACAGAAAAAGCCCTGTCACCCATAGACTTAAGGTGAGTTGGTGGAACCGTTAGTAGATTACTCTGTGAGGAGCGCAGTGTGCGATGTGGGGTGTACGGGGTTAATAGGTGAGTTAAATATTGTGGAGCCAATCCATGCAATGCCTTGTATGTTAACATCAAGATCTTAAAATCAACCCAGAACCTGACCGGGAGCCAGTGTAAGGACTTCAAAACAGATGTGATATGGTCATATTTCCTGCTTCCCGTCAGGATCCGGGCGGCAGAGTTCTGAACATACTGCAATTTGTTAATTGCAGTTTTAGAAACTCCAGCTAAAACGGCATTACAGTAATCCAACCGCGTGACAACGAAGGAATTAATCAGCTTTTCAGCGACAGATAAGTTTAGCATTGGTCTTAATCTGGCTATATTTCTGAGGTGAAAAAAGGAAGCTTTCACAGTGCTCTAAACAAAAAAATCAAAAGTGAGGTTAGTGTCAAAAATTACACCAAGGTTCCTCATCTTACTTTGGAACTCTAGAACAGAGCCATCAACAGATAGAGACAGTGGAGCCGCTTTGCGAATCTGATGACGGGAACCTATAAGCATGACCGCAGTTTTCCCGCTGTTCAGGCACAGAAAGTTATTCATCCCTGTTTTTATCTCAGAAATACAGCCAGAAAGATAACAAACATCAATGCTTTCACCAGATCTTGAGTGAATGTAGATTTGGGTATCGTCAGCATAAAAGTGATAATGGAGGCCAAGTGTTCGCAGCAGATGCCCAAGTGGAGATAGATAAATATTGAACAGTAGAGGGCCTAGAATTGAACCCTGAGGAACACCAGTGAGCACCGAGCAAGTGTCAGATCTAAAGCCACCCATAGAAATAAACTGGGAACGGTCAGTAAAATAGGATTTAAAACAGTTTAAAACTTTCCCGGACACACCTAAAACACTTTCTAAGCGGTTAAGTAAAAGACCATGATCCACGGTATCGAAGGCGGCTCTAAGGTCAAGAAGAGTAAGAAGTGAGGTAGCTCCAGAATCAGAGGCCATCAAAAGGTCATTTGTAACTTTGACCAACGCAGTTTCAGTGCTATGAAATTTACGAAAACCTGATTGAAGTGGTTCAAAGAGGTTATTGGTTGTAAGATGAGTACAGAGTTGAGAGGCGACAACACGCTCAAGTATTTTTGCCAAAAACGGAAGATTTGAAATGGGGCGAAAATTGTTAAAATCATCCACAGAAACATTTTCTCTCTTGGGGACAGGTGTAACAGCAGCAGTCTTCAGTACTGCTGGAACGACCCCAGTCTCCAGTGATTCATTTATAATACTGAGGATAGCAGGGCACCACACAGCAAAGCACGATTTAAACAGAATCATAGGAATTGGATCCAGCAGGCAAGTGGTAGATTTCATGCTGGATACCTCCCTAGTGAGAGCCTCAGAATCAAGCAGTGAAAAATGAGTAAAAGAAACAAGAGTGAACCCAGATGGATGAAGGAGTGGAGTGGCACAGTCAGGGTTAACAGTTTTTTAATTCTAAGATTTTCAATGTTCGTAAAGAAATTTCTGTAGAAAGGAATCACAGAGCTGCTGAGAAACAGGCAAAGTAGTAACAGTGTTTACTTGAAGCAATCTATTTATGGTTTGGAACAAGTGTCTGGGATTATTTTGATTATTTACAATAGCAACAGAGAAGTAGGAGGATCGTTCAGTCTCTAGTAGTGCATGATAATCCCCCAGCAGGTCCTTCCACGCTTGATAGTAGACACTCAGTCCGGTAAGGCGCCATTTTCGCTCCATTTTCCGACATACAGCCTTTCTAGAGTGCAGATTGTCATTATACCAGGGAGCAGAGCGGGTGAATGTGACCTTACGTGACTTTAGAGGAGCAAAAGTGTCAAGATTAGCAGCAAGAGTGGAATTTAGCTGCAGAACTTTCTCCTCCAGTGATGATGGATGAAGATCACTTAGGATGGAAACCACAGAATCGGAGAAGGCTGTCTGTTCGATAGACTTCCACTTCCGGAAGGTTACTGTTCGGATAGGAGGCTCACTTGAATGATACAGTTCAAGGTTAAAAAAGACAGCTGATGATCAGACAGTCCAATGTCAGTAGCTGAAAGCTCAGATACAAATGAGAATCACAAGAACCAGCGTATGACCCTTGTTATGAGTCGGGTCAGTTATAAACTGAGTGAAGTTAAAACAGTCAATTAGTGACAGAAAATCTTATTCCTGCTTCAGGGTCGCGGGGAACCTGGAGCCTATCCCAGGAAGCATCGGGCACAAGGCGGGGTACACTCGCAGGGCACAATCACATACATACTCACACACCCATTCATACACTATGGACAATTTACCAAGCTGCCAATCAACCTACCATGCAGGTCTTTGGACTGGGATAGGAAACCGGAGTACCCGGAGTACCCCCACAACACAGGGAGAACATGCACACACATGGCCCCGGCGGGACACGCACACACATGGCCCCGGCGGGAATCGAACCCCGGACCCTGGCGACCCTGGTGTGAGGCGAACGTGCTAACCACTAAGCCAGTGGAGCTCAGAAATAAAAAAAGAAATAAAAACTACAGACCAAACTATATAGAATGGCACCACCACATCGCACTCGCAATGGCTCTAAAGACAATGTTACTAAAAGAAACTCGCAGAATTAAAAATAAATAAATATAACTTAAAATAACAACGAAAACAAACCAAACGGTAACAGGAGTGGCAGCAAAACACGCCAGCATACCCTGTCACCGGAACCGGAAAAGTTGGATCAAGAGGTGGGGGAAGACTCTGGACAGACCTGGAAAGCTGAAACGGGTAGTGCGGCTGAACTGGGAACGTCTGGAGGAGGCCCCTGTCCGTGAGATCTTCAACTCACACCTCCGGCAGAATGCTTCTGGCATCCCTGTGGAGGTTGGGGACATTGAACCCGAGTGGGAAGCCATCTGACTGAAGAAGGAGGCCTTCCGGGATGTGTTATCCCGGGGGACTCCGGAGGCAGTTGCAAGCTACCGACAGGCCAGAAGGGCTGCAGCTTCTGCCATGAAAGAAGCAAAGCAGTAGATGTGGGAGAAGTTCGGAGAGGACATGGAGAAGGACTTTCGGTCGGCACCAAGGTGTTTCTGGAAAACCATCCGCCACCTCAGGAAGGGGAAAGGGGAACCATCCAAGCTGTGTACAGTAACGTTGACCTCAACTGAGGAAGTAATTGCACGGTGGAAGGAACACTTTGAGGAACTCCTGAATCCGACTCTATGGTAGAGGCAGAGGGGGAGGCTGATGGGGGATCATCGTCAATTTCCGTGGTGAAGGTTACTGAGGTAGTCAATCAACTACACAGTGGCAAAGCCCCGGGGATTTATGAGATCCGGCCAGAAATGCTGAAAGCTCTGGGTGTGGAGGGGATGTCTTGGATGACACGCCTCTCGAACATTGCATGGAAGTCGGGGACAGAGAGTGTGTGCCAATTATAGGGGTATCACACTTCTCAGCCTCCCTGGTACTACTCAAAGGTGCTGTAATGGAGGTACGACCAATAGTCGAACAAAGCGGGTTCTGTCCTGGTCGTGGAACAACGGACCAGCTCTTTACTCTCGCAAGGATCTTGGAGGGGGCCTGGGAGTACTACATGTGTTTTGTGGATCTGGAGAAGGCGTATGACCGGGTCCCCAGGGGTCTACTTAGGAGGTGCTGAGGGAGTATGGGGTGAAGGGTTCCCTTCTTAGGGCTATCCAAACGCTGTACACCCAAAACGAGAGTTGTGTCCGGATGCTTGGCAAAAAGTCGGACTTGCTCCAAGTTGGTCTCCTCCAGGGCTGCACTTTGTCACCAATCCTGTTTGTGATATTCATGGACAGGATATCGAGGCGTAGTCGTGTTGGGGAGGGGTTGCGGTTTGGTGACCTGAGGATCTCATCGCTGCTTTTTGCAAATGATGTGGTTCTGATGGCATCATCGGTCCTTGACCTCCAGCACTTACTGGATTGGTTTGCAGCCGAGTGTGAAGCAGCTGGGATGAGGATTAGCACCTCTAAATCTGAGGCCATGGCTCTCAGCAAGAAACCGAAGGAGTGCCTACTCCAGGTAAGGAATGAGAACATAACCCAAGTGAAGGAGTTCAAGTACCTTGGGGTCTTGTTCACGAGTGAGGGGACATTGGAATGAGAGATTGGCCGAAGAACCGGAGCAGCGGGAGAGGTATTGCAATCACTTTACCGTACCATTGTGACAAAAAGAGAGCTGAGCCGGAAGGTAAAACTCTCGACCTACTGGGCAATTTTCGTTCCTACACTCACCTATGGTCATGTAGGTTGGGTAGTGAACGAAAGAACTAGATCGCAGTTACAAGTGGCCGAAATGGGTTTTCTCAGGAGGGTGGCTGGCCTCTCCCTTAGAGATAGGGTGAGAAGCGCAGCTATTCGAGATGAACTCAGAGTAGAGCCGCTGCTCCTTTGGAAGGAGCCAGTTGAGGTGGTTCAGGCACCTGGTAAGGATGCCCCCTGGGCGCCTCTTTAGGGAGGTGTTCCAGGGACGTCCAGCTGGGAGGAGACCTCGGGGAAGACCCAGGACAAGGTGGAGAGACTATATTTCCACACTGGCCTGGGAATGCCTCGGGATCCCCCAGTCAGAGCTGTTTAATGTGGCTGGGGAAAGGGAAGTTTGGGATCCCTTGCTGGAGCTGCTACCCCTGCGACCCGATTACGGATAAGCGGTTGAGGATGGATGGATGGATGGATGTATAAAGCATATGTACAGTTACTTTTTTTTGTTGAGAAAAGTCACATTGAACTTAGCAATAATATCAGCTAGAATATTTATCTACAGCTGCAGAGAGTCTTACAGATTAATGAAGACTGCATTTTTGTAAGATACTTTTGTTTAGTGGTAAATATGACTTGGTTGACATAGTTTTGTATCCATACTGTATTTAGTAACCAGTTGATCTGCATTACACATTCATAAGATTGTTATTGTGTATAAAGTAAATGTACAGATTTTTAATTGTGTATTTCCTGTGTAACAGTGATCCCACAGGCAGTACTGAATGTATCTCCACAGCGCTGGCTTACTGAAGGAGACTCAGTGACTCTAAGCTGTGAGATTACAGAGTCCTCTACAAACTGGACATTCAGCTGGCACACAGTTTATCCCTACAGAATAATAAGAGACCATGATGGTGATATTGTCTATGGAGACTCCTACACTATCAGTCCTGCTGCTGTTAATCACACAGGAGTTTATATGTGCAGAGCAGAGTCAGGAGAACGAGATGGTCGCATATATTACAGCAACAAACAGCCACTTTGGATCACTGGTGAGGAAAAATAACAACAATAGTGTAATGATGGATTGTTGAAGATAGTGTATGTGTAAATGAAATAGTAGAATAGACCTAAGCACTGGTAGAGGATTATTCTCATTCAAATAGCACTTTTTAATTAAACGAGGTGTAAATGTGTTCAGTGTAAGTTATGTCATGAAAACACAATCATAATAACACATGTGAATTATAATGTTCTGTGTTGAAGGTGAATCTCCTCCAGTCTCTCTGATCATCAATCCCAACAGAACTCAACACTTTACTACTGAGTCTCTCTCACTGAGCTGTGAGGACCAGAGTAACTCTACTGGATGGACAGTGAGACGATACATAGACAGTACAACAGAGTTAAAATGTTGGACATCAGTTACAGGATGTACATGTGTAATCGGCTTCCTCTACAAACCCTTCACTGGAGTTTACTGGTGTGAGTCTGAATCTGGAGAAAACAGTAATCCTGTCAACATCACAGTGCATGGTGAGTCTTCATGTAGTGTGTTTATTGTTAAAGGAAAAGGGAAATGTTTCATTACAGAATATTCAGAACTCTGAGTTTCTAACTGGGAGAACTGTTCCACAAGACACACTGAACTGGTTTATCTCAGTAATGTTTTGAAAGTTCTGATTGTTTTGTCATTTTAATATTACCTGAACACAGCAACAGAACGGCACAGTGGAGTTTCTCTCATGAGCTGAATCAGCTACGGTAGAGCAGGTAAAACACTGAATGAGGCTGTAATGTGACTCTACACAACTCTAGTTATACACTCCTAAAGAGTTTTCATCCAATTCAACACCATAAACACAATAACACTAATGAGTTTCACACTGAAATCAAGTAGTGTTGATCAGAGTTTGTTCAAATAACTGCAGTCGCTGTAACTTTCAGTCAGTATTGGCTTTATGTTATATTACAGATAAATTAGTTTATTATAGAATTACACCTTAAACTAGGGATAACATGTCAGTGTCTGGATAAAGAAATATTCATGTTGTAATCCTTTTTGCTGTACATGTGATTTTCTGTGTTCTAGATGGTGATGTGATCCTGGAGAGTCCTGTCCATCCTGTGACTGAGGGACATCCTCTGACTCTACGCTGTTTATATCGCAAGACAAAGTCCTCAATCCTCCGAGCTGATTTCTATAAAGATGGATCAGTTCTCCAGACACAGACTACAGGAGAGATGATCATCTATAACGTCTCAAAGTCAGATGAAGGTTTCTACCACTGTAAACACCCAGAGAGAGGAGAGTCACCGAAAAGCTGGGTCCCAGTCAGAGGTGAGAAATCATTTCAATATTCATTTAAATACAACTGTGTTGAACTCAGTATCTTCATATAATGTGATTGTCACGAAATCCATGTAAAGAAAGTTTAGAATGGATACAATCGTGGATTGTATCCTTACAAGCTCTATAGAATAGTGTGATCGAAATAACAGGCAAGGTGTCAGGCGATCAACATACATGCATAAACGAGGCAAGGCAAGATCAAAACTCAGCAAGGCAAAACACGAGACTAAGCAGCTGAATGTTTACTTCACAAAATCTTTGACCGTTGACAGGAACTTGGCTTGAGAGGTCGTCTCTTCAAACGCTGACAGGAACTGGGCTTGAGAGGCCGCCTCTTCTTTGTAATCCTTTTTGCTGGGTCTCAGTCAGAGGTGACAAATTATTTAAATATTCATTTAAATAATTAAAACTGACTCAATTTGTTGAACTCAGTATCTTTACATAATGTAATCTATAGTGCTTAGTTTATGTAAGTACATGTACAGGATGGTATTTGTTCACGAGTGAACATCGATTTATTTCTACTGCAGTTTGAGTAAAACATACAAACAGTTCATCATGAATAAAGTGTTAATATAGTGATTATTTTATTCAGTGTCAGGTACATCAGGTGTAGAAACTCCATTCTCAGTGCTCATGCTGATCAGTATTATAGTGACGGCCTCTCTGCTGGTGACCATCATTCTGCTGGTGACCATCATTCTGCTGGTCAAATGTTACAGAGCTCGAGGTAAGAACTTTTTCAGTACGTTTCACATAATGAACAAACTAACTTTAATTACTGCCAAAAAAATATTTTCACTTAAAAAAAGGTAGAAATCATTGGACTCACTCTTGGCATTCAAAAAAATTAAAACATTTTGAAGTTACTGAAGACGAGTGAATGAATGATGTTGGTTTTCTAACACATCTGAGACACTGGCACTTAAATGC